TAAGAAAAAAATTATAGTAAATATATTAATTCAGGAAAACTTGGCTTATTAGGCAAATCGGGCCTTGAATAGTTGGCTGAGAAGTGCGTTCTGGCTATTAGGTACGACATATATATATATATATATATATATATATATATATATATATATATATATATATATATATATATATATATATATATATATATATATATATATATATGTATGTCGTACCTAGTAGCCAGAACGCACTTCTCAGCCTACTATGCAAGGCCCGATTTGCCTAATAAGCCAAGTTTTCATGAATTAATGTTTTTTCGACTACCTAACCTACCTAACCTAACCTAACCTAACTTTTTCGGCTACGTAACCTAACCTAACCAATGAAGATAGGTTAGGTTAGGTTAGGTTAGGTAGGGATGGTTAGGTTTGGTCATATATCTACGTTAATTTTAACTCCAATAAAAAAAAATTTACCACATACATAATGAAATGGGTAGCTTTATCATTTCTTAAGAAAAAAATTAGAGAAAATTTTTTAGTTCAGGAAAACTTGGCTTATTAGGCAAATCGGGCCTTGCATAGTAGGCTGAGAAGTGCGTTCTGGCTACTAGGTACGACATGTATATATATATATATATATATATATATATATATATATATATATATATATATATATATATATATATATATATATGTCGTACCTAGTAGCCAGAACACACTTCTCAGCCTACTATGCAAGGCCCGATTTGCCTAATAAGCCAAGTTTTCATGAAATAATTGTTTTTCGACTACCTAACCGACCTAACCTAACCTAACCTAACTTTTTCGGCTACCTAACCGAACCTAACCTATAGAGATAGGTTAGGTTATGTTAGGTAAGGTTGGTTAGGTTCGGTCATATATCTACGTTAATTTTTATTCCAATAACAAAAAATTGACATCATACATAATGAAATGGGTAGCTTTATCATTTCATAAGAAAAAAATTAGAGAAAATATATTAATTCAGGAAAACTTGGCTTATTAGGCAAATCGGGCCTTGCATAGTAGGCTCAGAAGTGCGTTCTGGCTACTAGGTACGACATATATATATATATATATATATATATGTCGTACCTAGTAGCCAGAACGCACTTCTCAGCCTATTATGCAAGGCCCAATTTGCCTAATAAGCCAAGTTTTCATGAATTAATTGTTTTTTGACGACCTAACCTACCTAACCTAACCTAACTTTTTCGGCTACCTAACCTAACCTAACCTATAAAGATAGGTTAGGTTAGGTTAGGTAGGGTTGGTTAGGTTCGGTCATATATCTACGTTAATTTTAACTCCAATAAAAATAAATTGACCTCATACAAAATGAAATGGGTAGCTTTATCATTTCATAAGAAAAAAAATTGAGAAAATATATTAATTCAGGAAAACTTGGCTTATTAGGCAAATCGGGCCTTGCATAGTAGGCCGAGAAGTGCGTTCTGGCTACTAGGTACGACATATATATATATATCTATATCTATATCTATCTATCTATATATATATATATATATATATATATATATATATATATATATATATATATATATATATATATATATATATATATATGTCGTACCTAGTAGCCAGAACGCAATTTTTGGCCTACTATGCAAGGCCTGATTTGCCTAATAAGCCAAGTTTTCCTGTATTAATATATTTTCTCTAATTTTTTTCGTATGAAATGATAAAGCTACCCATTTCATTATGTATGAAGTAATTTTTTTTTATTGGAGTTAAAATTAACGTAGATATATGACCGAACCTAACCAACCCTACCTAACTTAACCTAACCTATCTTTATAGGTTAGGTTAGGTTAGGTTGCCGAAAAAGCTAGGTTAGGTTAGGTTAGGTAGGTTAGGTAGTCGAAAAACAATTAATTCATGAAAACTTGGTTTATTAGGCAAATCGGGCCTTGCATAGTAGGCAGAGAAGTGCGTTCTGGCTACTAGTTACGACATATATATTTATATATATATATGTCGTACCTAGTAGCCAGAACGCACTTCTCAGCCTACTATGCAGGGCCCAATTTGCCTAATAAGCCAAGTTTTCATGAATTAATTATTTTTCGACTACCTAACCTACCTAACCTAACCTAACCTAACTTTTTCGGCTACATAACCTAACCTAACCTATAAAGATAGGTTAGGTTAGGTTAGGTAGCGTTGGTTAGGTTCGGTCATATATGTACGTTGATTTTATCTCCAATAACAAAAAATTGTCCTCATACATAATGAAATGGGTAGCTTTATCATTTCACAAGAAAAAAATTAGAGAAAATATATTAATTCAGGAAAACTTGGCTTATTAGGCAAATCGAGCCTTGCATAGTAGGCTGAGAAGTGCGTTCTGGCTACTAGGTACGACATATATATATATATATATATATATATATATATATATATATATATATATATATATATATATATATATATATATATATATATATATATATATATATATATATATATATATATATATATATATATATATTATTGTTATCATTATTATATATGACCGAAAGAGTAAGATTAATAATTCTAACACGAATTTTCTCAATATTTTGTATGTTTCTTCTTACTGTAGATGGTAATTGAAAAATCAATTCTCAAAAATTCATTTTTATTTCTAGTCTGACACGACGCTTGAACGCGCTTCGTAATAACTTATTACATTTTCAAAGACTTTAGTTTACACACACACAACTATAACCTGCAAACACTAAACAGAGTTCTTCTATGCTATAATGTTAAACAGCTTTCATATTATTTACCAGCATTAGGGTGAGGTTAAATGTTACAACAGTTTTGGATGAGGTGAACAAAACTTTCAACACAAGACAGAACACGAAACAATGGGTATATATTGGGTAAATTAAAGAGAAGAATGGAACTGCAAAAGGCTATTGGCCCATATTTCTTGATGCTTTTATATTGGTGCGGAGTCATGAAGTGGGTAGAATGGGTGGGTATTCTACCCACTTCAAAATGAAAACATCCGATCACATGAAAAAACATCATGTGATCTGATGTTCCCATCACTGAAATATAGGAAAAACAGTTAAAAATTAATTGAAAATATGAAAAAATAAAATAAATAAACTATACTCACGAAATGAACGGTATGGTAAACAACACAACTCAATTCCAACGCAATTCACACAAAATAATGAAATCAGAGTGAAAATAAATCAGAGTGAAAATAAATAAAAATCGATGAAAATTCAATTTATCAATGCAATCAGAAACAATGAAATGGAATTGTAACATATTTAGTATAGCATGTGTGTTGCTCTTACATGCAACAGAAGGCGCTGTTTTTCAAGGAAAGCATAGTTTTTCCTATCACAGGTGAGGCATGTATATAGTAGATATATAAAAAGACGCCTCTATTCGAATGCAATGTTGTGTCAAAATTTCAAAGCAATTGATAAAGTGGTCTCGAAGATTTCCCCCACATGAAAAACACAAAAAACATAGTTTTTTCTGAAAAAGCATGTTTTCTTACCGTCACAGACGTGACATCTATATAGAATGTATATAAAAACCTGGCCGGATGCGAATGGAACGTTGTGTAAAAATTTCAAAGCAATCAATGAAGAACTTTCGGAGATTAGCGGTTATACACAAACAAAGATTTCCATTTTTATTTATATAGATTAAGTCATTTCAACGCTCCCTTTAAACATAAGTGGCAGAACTAAATGAACTTTTATGTGGCTAAAACGAGTGCTTGATAAAACCTCCAATGGTTAGCAGATCAACCGGGCTGTGATTCATAAGTGAGAGTTGCTACTGTGGACAGCTTGGTCAACCAGACCACCATCTATATGGTCTGGTCAAAGTCAGTACCATGTGGGATATTGATTCCTGTAGCCATCAACGAGAATGATGCACAAGTTAGTGTGTGTTCCAGTTTTGTTATGTCGTGTCGAATTCCATTAGTACATATTGTGAAGTTCTTTTTTTTTAGGGGGGGGGGGGACACAGTCTATATTTTGTACATTTCATCCAGAGTAGCTACAAGTACTGTCATTTTGGGTAGTCTAGTCCTTGTCTATTTTACTTTGTTCGCAGGGTCTTAAAGACCTTGCAAACAAACAAAAATGGACCGCTAAGCGCTACTTTTTTCTTGGTACCTGATTAATATTATAATTCTCGCCAGATTATCACCTGTTCCTTTCTAACTTTAGCGAAATGGTTTGTATGTATACTCTTACTGTACATATATCTTGATATGCCTTAAGGTTTGCCACCATGAAATAGTATTTTAAGAACAGTATTCGTGTACATTACCAAAGGTAATAGAACTTGTCTGGACATTATCACAACCCACCTGAGATGTACCTCTGGACATTATCACAACCCACCTGAGATGTACCTCTGGACATTATCACAACCCACCTGAGATGTACCTCTGGACGTTATCACAACCCACCTGAGATGTACCTCTGGACGTTATCACAACCCACCTGAGATGTACCTCTGGACGTTATCACAACCCACCTGAGATGTACCTCTGGACGTTATCACAACCCACCTGAGATGTACCTCTGGACGTTATCACAACCTACCTGAGATGTACCTCTGGACATTATCACAACCCACCTGAGATGTACCTCGGGACATTATCACAACCTACCTGAGATGTACCTCTGGACGTTATCACAACCCACCTGAGATGTACCTCTGGACGTTATCACAACCCACCTGAGATGTACCTCTGGACGTTATCACAACCCACCTGAGATGTACCTCTGGACGTTATCACAACCCACCTGAGATGTACCTCTGGACGTTATCACAACCTACCTGAGATGTACCTCTGGACATTATCACAACCCACCAAAGATGTACCTCGGGACATTATCACAACCTACCTGAGATGTATCTCTCAACGTTATCAAAACCCTCCTGAGATTTACCTCTGGATGTTATTACAGCCTACCTGAGATGTACCTCTGGACGTTATCACAACCTACCTGAGATGTTCCTCGTTAGTATTTGAACGTGAGGTTTTTCCACAGCAATTTCGTATACAAGGGTGACAACGCTCAATACTAAGAGCAAGAGGACCAAGTTCCGGGAGAACCATCTCTGGAGATATTGACTCATCCTGTGGACAAATATTTCCAATTAGCATTGTCCATTGGTCACTTGAGTAACACTAAGTTTATGAAAAATATTTCTTGAATTGCACACATGTTATTCATTTCCATGCCTTATAGTATATAACGGAAAACGTAGCACATAGACTTACAACGTTATGATTATATAATACCATAGAACTACACCCTGACACTTACAGCAACACTATGGTCAAATGTTCGAGACCCATTTGCTTCGACTACTAATGAGGAGATACATGACAGTTTGTGCAGGCGAGTCCAATCTCTTACAACTACATTTGACAAAGAGACGCATATTTTACTACTGTGTGAAAAAAAATCGGCACAATAAAATAAAAAGTATTATATGTACAGAACACATTTATGTTTTGGATGTCGAATACAGTCAACCAAACCTCAGCAACTTCAACTAACCAACAGAGGTTGGTTATTGCTCAGTACTGCCTAACTTAAAGTCCAATTCGACAAACATTAAATAATTACTTACGTATAATACAATCATATCAATATCATGATTAATCTAATAATTCCATTGGAGGTACAGTGGTGGTCAAAAGTATCTTTCAAGGGAATGGGAGGGGATGGGGAAAATGTGGCAACACTGCTTTTTGAAGTGCCAAGTTGTTTCAAGAATTACCACATTTTGTTTTTATATTATCGACAAAGATTGTATTCGTACACGTTAGGTTTATATGAAGGCTTAAAATGAGTGATATGCTAACAATAGCTGCATATTTGCCATTTATTATTGAGCAAATTCCCATTTCGTCTCTTTAATTTATTTTCTAAACGAAATCTAGTAATTACCTTAGTAGTCACCTAGTTGTTCTTGCGGGGATTCAGCTCCAACTTTTTCGGCCCGCCTCTCAACTGTTAATCAATCAACGGATTTTTTTTCTACGCACACACACTTACATACTCGTAAGATAATGAAACTAGGCGGTGGAAACAGGAGGCCAGACACAGAATACCGAATGTGTGATGAAGTCCTTCATGAAACGGACAGAGAAAAAGATGTAGGAGTTGATATCACGCCAAACCTGCCTCCTGAGGCCCACATAAAAAGAATAACATTTTAACTGTTTTCAGGATCCTGTGTAAGGAATCATTTAGAACCTTGTATACCACATATGTAAGATTATTCCTGGAGTATGTGGCTCCAGCATGGAGCCCGTACCTTGTCAAGCACAAGACGAAGGTGGAAAAGTTCAAAGGTACGCCACTAGGCTAGTCCCAGTACTAAGAGTCATGAGTTACAAGGAAAGGCTGCGTGAAATTCCCTTCACGACACTGGAAGACAGAAGAGTAAGGAGGAGACATGATCACTACCTACAAAATTCTCAAAGGAATTAACAGGGTAGATAAGGATAAACTGTTTAACACGGGTGGTGCGCGAACACAGGAACAGGTGGAAACTGAGTACCCAAATGAGTCACAGGGAGGTTAGAATGAACTTTTTCAGTGACAGAGTAGTTAACAGATAGAATGCACTAGGAAGTGATGTGGTGGAGGCAAACTACATACACTGTTTCAATGTAGATATGATAAATCCCAGTAGGCTCAGGAATCTGTACACCAGTTCATTGGCGGTTGAGAGACAGGACAAAGAACCAGAGCTCAACCCCCAATAGCACAACTAAGTGAATACACACACACACACACACACAGATGTGTGTGTGTGTGTGTTAACGGATGGAATGCATTAGGCAGTGATGTGGTGGAGGCTGATTCCCTACACAGTTTTAAATGTAGATATGATAGAGCCCAGTAGGCTCAGGAATCTGTACACCGTTGATTGACAGTTGAGAGGAGGGACCAAAGAGCCAAAGCTCAACCCCCGCAAGCACAAATAGGTGAGTACACACACACACACGCACGCACGCACGCACGCACACACACACACACACACACACACCGTGGTATCACCGTGGATACTTAAAGAGGCAGCGCAGGGTCTCAGCGTGCCTCAGGCAATGATCTTTACTGAGTTACTTATGTCGGGAGAATTGCCCAGTTGCTGGAAGGACGAAAATGTCGTACCGATTTTCAAAAAAGGTGATAGGGAGGAGGCACTTAACTACAGACCCGTATCACTGACAAGCATCCCCTGCAAAATACTTGAAAGAATAATTAGGCTAAGACTTGTTGAGCACCTGGAGAGCATTGGGTTTGTAAACAAGCACCAACATGGGTTCTGGACAGGGAAATCATGCCTAACAAACCTTTTAGAATTCTATGATAAAGTAACAAGGATAAGGCAGGACAGAGAAGGCTGGGCAGACTGCATATTTCTTGACTGCCAAAAGGCCTTTGATACGGTACCGCACATGAGACGCTATACAAACTTGAGAGGCAGGCAGGAGTAAGCGGAAAGGCCCTAGTATGGGTGAAGAACTACCTAACAGGAAGGAGCCAGAGGGTAATGGTAAGGGGCGAGAAGTCGGACTGGCGAACAGTAACAAGTGGAGTACCTCAAGGATCGGTACTGGGACCAATCCTCTTTCTAATTTACGTAAATAATATGTTTACAGGAGTGGAATCATACATGTCAATGTTTGCGGATGACGCAAAATTAATGAGAAGAGTTGTGACAGACGAGGATTGTAGGATCCTCCAAGAGGACTTAAACAGGCTGCAGAGATGGTCAGGGAAATGGCTACTGGAGTTTAACACCAGTAAATGTAAAGTTAAGGAAATGGGATCAGGTGACAGGAGACCAAAGGGACAGTACACAATGAAGGGGAACAGCCTACCTGTAACGATTCGAGAAAGAGACCTGGGAGTGGATGTGACACCTAATCTAACTCCTGAGGCACATATAAATAGGATAACGACAGCAGCGTACCCTACACTGCCGAAAATTAGAACTTCATTCAGAAACCTAAATGAGGAGGCTTTTAGGGCGCTTTACACTGCCTACGTGAGACCCGTCTTAGAGTATGCCGCGCCATCATGGAGCCCCCACCTGAAGAAACACATAAAGAAACTGGAGAAGGTTCAGAGGTTTGTGACGAGGCTTGTCCCAGAGTTACGAGGGATGGGATATGAAGAGCGGCTGAAGGAACTGAACTGAGAAAAGAAGGGAGAGAGGAGATATGATAGGGACATATAAAATACTCAGGGGAATTGACAAAGTGGAAATAGATGAAATGTTCACACGTAATAATAACAGAACGAGGGGACATGGGTGGAAACTGGAAACTCAGATGAGTCACAGAGATGTTAGGAAGTTTTCTTTTAGCGTGAGAGTAGTGGAAAAATGGAATGCACTTGGGAAACAGGTTGTAGAAGCAAATACTATTCATACTTTTAAAACTAGGTATGATAGGGAAATGGGACAGGAGTCATTGCTGTAAACAACCGATAGCTCTAAAGGCGGGATCCAAGAGTCAATGCTCGATCCTGCAAGCACAAATAGGTGAGTACAAATAGGTGAGTACACACACACACACACATACCTGGCATACCGAAAGGGGAATTATGAACAGATGAGAAGTTTCCTAAGTGAAATACCTTGGGACACAGACCTCAGAGACAAGTCTGTACAGGGTATGATGGACTATGTTACCCAAAAGTGTCAGGAGGCAGTAAACAGGTTCATCCCGGCCCAAAGGGAAAAATCCGAGAAGCAACAGAAGAATCCATGGTATAATAGGGCATGTATGGAAGCGAAGAAACTGAACAAAAAGGCGTGGAGGAACTTCCGGAATAACAGAACACCAGAAAGCAGAGAGAGATACCAGAGAACCAGGAATGAGTACGTCAGGGTGAGAAGAGAAGCAGAGAAAAATTTTGAAAATGATATAGCAAACAAAGCCAAGACCGAACCAAAGCTACTCCACAGTCACATCAGAAGGAAAACAACAGTGAAATAACAGGTATTGAAACTTAGAACAGGCGAGGACAGGTATACAGAGAATGACAGAGAGGTGTGTGAGGAACTCAACAAGAGGTTCCAGGAGGTCTTCACAATAGAACAGGGTGAGGTCACTGTGTTAGGAGAAAGGGAGGTAAACCAGGCGGCCTTGGAGGAGTTCGAAATTACGAGAGAGGAGGTCAAGAGACACCTGCTGGATCTGGATGTTAGAAAGGCTGTTGGTCCAGATGGGATCTCACCATGGGTACTGAAAGAGTGTGCAGAGGCACTTTGCCTGCCACTCTCCATAGTGTATAGTAAGTCACTAGAGACGGGAGACCTACCAGAAATATGGAAGACGGCGAATGTGGTCCCAATATACAAAAAGGGCGACAGACAAGAGGCACTGAACTACAGGCCAGTGTCCTTGACTTGTATACCATGCAAGGTGATGGAGAAGATCGTGAGAAAAAACCTGGTAACACATCTGGAGAGAAGGGACTTCGTGACAAATCGCCAACATGGGTTCAGGGAGGGTAAATCTTGCCTTACAGGCTTGATAGAATTCTACGATCAGGTGACACAGATTAAGCAAGAAAGAGAGGGCTGGGCGGACTGCATTTTCTTGGATTGTCGGAAAGCCTTTGACACAGTACCGCATAAGAGGCTGGTACATAAGCTGGAGAGACAGGCAGGTGTAGCTGGTAAGGTGCTCCAGTGGATAAGGGAGTATCTAAGCAATAGGAAGCAGAGAGTTACGGTGAGGGGTGAGACCTCCGATTGGCGTGAAGTCACCAGTGGAGTCCCACAGGGCTCTGTACTCGGTCCTATCTTGTTTCTGATATATGTAAATGATCTCCCGGAGGGTATCGATTCATTTCTCTCAATGTTTGCGGACGATGCTAAAATTATGAGAAGGATTAAAACAGAAGAGGACTGTTTGAGGCTTCAAGAAGACCTAGACAAGCTGAAGGAATGGTCGAACAAATGGTTGTTAGAGTTTAACCCAACCAAATGTAATGTAATGAAGATAGGTGTAGGGAGCAGGAGGCCAGATACAAGGTATCATCTGGGAGCGGAAATTCTTCAGGAGTCAGAGAAGGAAAAAGACTTGGGGGTTGATATCACGCC